TGCCCAGGCTGGAGTGCAGGGCACAGTCTTAGCTCACTGCCACCTCCGCCTCCTGGGTTCACGTGATTCTCGTGCCTCAGCCTCCTAAATTGCTGGGATTACACGTGTGCACCACCATGCCCAGCTAATTTTTTTGTATTTTTGTTTTTTTAATATTGTTTTTTTGCATGTCCTTGGATTAGTTTTTTGTATTTTTAGTAGAGATGAGGTTTCACCATGTTGGTCAGGCTGGTCTCGAACTCGTGACCTCAAGTGATCTACCTGCCTCGGCCTCCCAAAATGCTGGGATTACAGGGGTGAGCCATGATGCTTGGCCACTAATTTTTTTTTAAATTTCATTTATTTTGGAAATAAATATACATTCGGCCCCTTGCTCATCCCTGCCCTCAACGGCCTCAGCTTCTTGCTATGTTGCCTAGGCTGTTGAACTCCTGGCCTCAAGTGATCCTCCTGCCTCAGCCTCCCAAAGTGTTGGGATTACAGGCATGAGCCACAGCGCCTGGTTATGTATTTATTTTTTTGAAAGATGGGGGTCTCATTCTGTCACCCAGGCTGGAGTGCAGTGGTGCGATCATAGCTCACTGCATCCTCTAACTCCTGGGTTCAAGTGATTCTCTTACCCCAGCCTCCTGAGTAGCTGGGACTACAGATGTGTACCACTACACCTGGCCTATTTCTTTTTTCTTGAAGGCAGAGTACCTCTCTCCATCTGTCCCCACTCAGGGAATGCTTGGGGCTGGGAAGGGTGGGCGGTTTGACCTTGAGTAGGAGCCCCTAACGTGGCAGCCTGAGTCCACTTCCATTGCTGGAGAGGCCACGTCTGGCATGAGCTGGGGCAGGGCGCCTGCAGGGTCTCTTACCCCAGGGTACCATCTCCCTTGGATCCCAGTGAGCCCGCCATGCCCCTCGCACAGGTGGGTGAGGTTGGCTTAGGTCTGGCTGCCCTGTCTGCAGGTGTGGGCGTCCATGGTGGCTGTGAGGCAGGGGAATAGGGAATGAGGGTAGCCAAGGTTTGGGACTGCAGCAGAGGAGCAGCAGGTGCAGCCAGTTCCAGGCAGGGCTGGGCAGCACGCAGCCCCAGCCTTGATCTCGGGATCCCAATACAGGAGTTTCCACTTCAGCCTCTGATTGGTCTCGGGCCAATCCTTCATAGGGTGTAGCCTATTGGAGGCCTTTAAAGGCCACAGGGCTCCAGCTGTTTCCTCTGGCTTGATAAAAATCCTAATTGAGAAGGCTCTAGTGCTACTTGGTGGAGCCCATTCTCACTGTGTGGAGCGTCTTCTGTAAATCTCTGCTTTCCTTACTCCGTGTTTCGTTGTTCTTTTGTTACTTTGTGTGTTTTGTTCAATTCTTTGTTTAACTCGCCAAGAACGTGGGCAACTCCCCTTCAAGGCCTTCTCTCCCCTAGTAGCTGGAGCGGGAACCGTCGGTCTGAAGGCAAGTGTCCGAGCAGCCCCCACTCCCTGCAGTGAAGGGGCAGCAGGGGTGGCGATCTATAGAGGCTCAACCTCACAGGATCTGCCTTGGAAAGAGTGTTGGGGGGGGGCAAGGGAGACAGCCCCCACCCAAACCCCAGTGCCCCCTCGCACGCAAGGTGGTCTGCTGCTGAAATTGAGGAGCTCCTTGGCAAGGTGGGTCTAATTTCAGGGTATCCCGGAAACAGGAATGGGGGGCCAGGGGGTGTCTAAGAAAGGGACTCAGGCTGGTCTGACTCCTCCCATGTTCATACCCAGGACTTTGGTCCCGCTGTCCCAGCCAGAGCCTGCTCACCCCGTCCCCTGCCTGGTCCCGCCCCACGCCCCCCACAGGTCTCAGTTTAGGTGTCGAGATCGGAAGCTCCTTCTGTGCATGGGTCTCTGCGCTCCCACACCTTGGGGTTCTGCTCCTTGTCAGTGTCCTCTCCCCAAGGACAGGGGTCTTAGTAATTGTCTGGTCTCCAAGAGCCCTGCAGGGACACCCCCTCCTGGGAACTCACACAGCCCAGCTAGGTCACTAAGCCTTTGAGGAGTCCTTGTACGCCTCTGTGGCTCTAGAAGCACCTCGGCGTGTGGGACCCGTGCCCACTGTCGTCCCGCCCTACTGATGACCGTGAACCTGTAGGGTGTTGGGCCAGCTCTTACCCCAAGGCTGGGCAGGCCCCAGGAGTCCCTTTCTGCTCAGACAAGCTCCCTCGCGGGCGGGGGAGGAGGAGGGCAGGGTCTGGCCCCAGGCCCCAGGTGTGGATCGCGCCATAATAAGACCCTGGGGAGGGGGGCGCACCTGCGCCACGGCGCCCCCAGCCCCGCCGGGCCGCGCCCCGCACAGAGGGTTTCCCAGGAGACCCCCCCAGGCTCCCGCTGCGCCGTGGGGGTGGGGCAGCCCTGCGGACCAGAGCCCGGCCCGGGCCGGCGTGCGGCGGGGATCGTGACCGCGGCCGCTTCCGTGCGGGGTCCTGGCGCGCGGGCGGCGGGGGCGACCCGGGTACCTGCGCCGTGCGGGCGACACGCGTGTCTCTGTGGGGCTGCGCGGGGTCCGCGGAGCGGCTGGGGGCGCGCGGCGCGGGCGCGGCGCTGGGCGCGGGGGGCGCTCCCGGCCGGGATGAGCTCACCGCAGTCGCGCCGGGGCTGAGCGCCGAGCGGGGCGGCGGCGGCGGCGGCGGGGCGGGCGGCGGCTCCTCGGCTGCTCCGCGGCTGCCCGGGCCGCGCGCCACCATGCTGGGCCTGGACGCGTGCGAGCTGGGGGCGCAGCTGCTGGAGCTGCTCCGGCTGGCGCTGTGCGCCCGAGGTGAGCGGGTCGGGCGGGGGCCGGCGGCCGGTGGGCGGGGGTTCGGCCCCAGGCGGGGAGCAGCCCCTCCCCCGCGGCAACTTTGGGGGCGCGCGTGGGGACCTCGCGTCGCGGACCCCCGACCCGGGTCTGGCAGGGGTGGGGGACTTGCTCCAGGCTCCACCCCTGTGGGGAAGGGAGCCAGGTGCGGACCGGTGGCTGGTGAGGCGGCGGCGCTGGGACCCTCTCCCCTGGGTGGGGCTGGGGCTCGAGCTCCGTAGGGCGTGTGGTGATGCCTAAGAAGACTGGAATAAAGTGGGCAGGGACTCAGACCCCTGCCCAGGGTGCCAGGGAGGGGGTTTCAGGAGACCCCCAGCCCCGGGGCACTACGGGAGGCGGTGCAGAGCCTGAGCCCAGGGCTTTGGAGAGTGGCTCCCAGCCCCCAAGCACCGTGGGGAGGAACTCCTGGGACTGCGGGAAAGTATTGAGAGACCCCGGCCCAGAGCAGGATGGTGGAGACCTGGAGGACCACTGGGGGTGGGAGGCCGCTGAGGGCTGCTGCTCTCTAGCAGGTAGCCCCCCGACCCTGGGCTGCCCTCATTTGGAGCCTTCGCTTCCCGAACCTTTGGTCTCAGTCAGGGAGGCGGACTTGCGGCCATCCAGACCAGGGGAGCTGCCTGCCTGGCGGTCTCTGGAGGGCCCCTCCTGAAGGTCTGGGTGTGGTGCTGCACATCCCCAGGCCGCCCCTGCCCTCTCCACCTGCCCTCTCCCTGAGCCCTGAGAGGCGTCCTCTTAAGTCTATTTGGGTAGCGGGAGGTACAGCTGGCCCGAGGGGGCTCCAGCTTGGCACTGGAATGCCAGGGTCTGCTAGTGGCAACTGCTCACGCCCCTCCCCACCCCCAGTCCTCCTGGCTGACAAGGAGGGTGGGCCGCCGGCAGTGGACGAGGTGCTGGATGAGGCTCTGCCTGAGTATCGGGCGCCGGGGAGGAAGAGCCTCTTGGAGATACAGCAGCTGGACCCGGAAGACAGGAGCCTGGCCCAGTATAAGCGGGCGCTGCTGGGGCCCCTGCCGCCGGCTGTGGGTACGGCAGGGGCCTGGGCGTGGAGGGCTGGGTATGGGGGGCTGGCAGGGGCCCGGGGGGCATCCTGCAGACTACCAGTTTCTCTTCAGACCCAAGCCTGCCCAATGTGCAGGTGACCAGGCTGACCCTCCTGTCGGAGCAGGCTCCGGGGCCCGTGGTCATGGACCTCACAGGTAACTTGCAGGATGCTGTCCCCTGAATGCAGGTGGGGCCCTCACGGGTGGGCTTCGGTGCCCCTGTGCCCCACACCCCACGTCCAGTACTCATAGCCATCACAACCGCAGACCGCATGGGCACCACTCCCCATGCGGGGGCTCCTGGAGCAGGTGTCGGCCTGTAGAGAAGTTTTGACCCTAGCTGCCATTTCCCAAATAGGGGACCTGGCTGCCCTGAAAGACCAGGTGTTTGTCCTGAAAGAAGGTGTTGATTACAGAGTGAAGATCACCTTCAAGGTGAGAGTGGCTGCAGGGCCGGGGGTGTGAAGGGAGCATGTGGGGGCAAGAGCCAGAGGCCTGGCCCCCCGAGGAACCCCCAGTGCCTCTGTTCCCAGGTCCACAGGGAGATCGTCAGCGGCCTCAAGTGTCTGCACCACACCTACCGCCGGGGCCTGCGTGGTGAGGGCAGCGGTTGGGGGAGTTGGGGGGGAGGGGGGCGGCGGGGGTGGGCAGAGGACAGCCCTGATGCCCCCACCCTCTCCAGTGGACAAGACCGTCTACATGGTGGGCAGCTACGGCCCGAGTGCCCAGGAGTACGAGTTTGTGACTCCGGTGGAGGAAGCGCCGAGGGGCGCACTGGTGCGGGGCCCCTACCTGGTCCTGTCCCTCTTCACGGACGACGACAGGACACACCACCTGTCCTGGGAGTGGGGCCTCCGCGTCTGCCAGGACTGGAAGGACTGAACCACCAGTCCGTGTCTCCCCAACCTTGCTCAGTTGCTGCACAGGGACCCCCAAGCATCCCCAGTACCCCCGTGAGTGACGAGACCCTCCCCTGCCCACCCCTGCTCTGTCCCAGGACCCCCTGGGCTGGCGCTGTCCCCCGACTGTCCATTAAACGTAGTCCTGCCTCGGTGCCCTGCGTGTCGCCTCTTTCTGCCTCCCCTCCCTGGGGGCTGGGGGGAGCACGTGGGCCTTATCTTTGTTGGGACAGGGCCTGGGTGCTACGTGGCGGCTGCCGCTTGGCTTGAGGCTCCCTTATCTGCCCCTGCCCCATGGTCCCTGGCAGCACCATGAGCCACCAGCTCCTGCCCGTGCTGCTGCTGCTCCTGCTGCTTGGCACCTTGAGCCCGTGGGGTCAGGAGCAGGGGCCTGAGAGTCCCTCAGAGGAGCCTCCAGAGGAGGAGATCCCCAAGGAGGATGGGATCTTGGTGCTGAGCCACCACACCCTGGGCCTGGCCCTGCGGGAGCACCGTGGCCTGCTGGTGGAGTTCTGTGAGTGCTGTGGCCAGTGGGACTGGGGACCGGCAGGGCCCGCTGGGACCCACACCCTTTGCCTGCAAATGCAAGGCATGTGGCCAAGAGAGGCCTCCCCTCAGGCACTCACCCCAGGCACTCACCCCCACTGTGCCACAGAGCTCTAGGGAGGGGCCTGGGGTCCGGTTGGGGCAGGCAGGAGCAGTGGGGGTACCCACAGGACAGGAGAGCACCTGGACCTCCCTGCTTTGCCAGTGGGGCCTGCCACAGACTGCAGAGGCCCCAGCCATGTTCAGGCCTGGAGGTCCCTGATGTGTGTGTTCTGTGGTCTCTTCACAACCTCTGACACACGTAGGAACTGTTCTCGCCTAGGAGGCCTTCCCAGGCAGCCAGATGAGCCCAGGAGCCCCGACCTTACAGGACGGGAAAGGGGGAAAGGGAAGGGTCTTTCCAGCTCTCCCAAGCCTTGCTGGTCCCTATGCCACAGCCTGGGAGACTGGGAGGGGGCGTTGGTGCTTGGCTTGGCCATGGCCAGGGCTCAGGGCAGAACTGAGGAGTATGCTTGTTCCCTGCTGGGTTGTCTGGTGGGGACAGGGTGCTGCTGGGGTTGTGGCGGCCTGGGGCACTCACAGACCCGTCCCCCAGATGCCCCATGGTGTGGGCACTGCAAGGCCCTGGCCCCCGAGTACAGCAAGGCAGCTGCCCTGCTAGCAGCCGAGTCGATGGCGGTCACGCTGGCCAAGGTGGACGGGCCCGCGCAGCCGGAGCTGGCCAAGGAGTTTGGTGTGACGGAGTACCCCACGCTCAAGTTCTTCCACCACGGGAACCGCACACACCCAGAGGAGTACACAGGTGCGGGGGCAGGCGGGTCGCTGGGGGGCGGGGCCGGGCCCAGGCTGAGGGGAACTCCCTGCAGGACCCCGGGAAGCCGAGGGCATCGTGGAGTGGCTACGACGGCGGGTGGGGCCCAGCGCCAGGCAGCTGGAGGATGAGGAGGGCGCCCAGGCGCTGATCGATGCCCGGGACCTGGTGGTCATCGGCTTCTTCCAGGTGAGCCACTGGGCACGGGGCGCCAGGCTACTGGGGCAGTGACTGCGGGACCTGGTGGCCTCACAGTGCCGGCCCCACAGGACTTGCAGGATGAGGATGTGGCCACCTTCTTGGCCCTGGCCCGGGACGCCCTGGACATGACCTTTGGCCTCACGGACCGGCCGCAGCTGTTCCAGCACTTTGGCCTCACCAAGGACACCGTGGTCCTCTTTAAGAAGGTAGGTCAGGCCCAGATGGGGGCTGCGGTCCGGCCGTGGCTCCCGCTGAGCCACCTTCTGCTGTCCAGTTTGATGAGGGGCGGGCAGACTTCCCAGTGGACGAGGAGCTTGGCCTGGACCTGGGCGATCTGTCACGCTTCCTGGTCACACACAGCATGCACCTGGTCACGGAGTTCAACAGTCAGGTGCGCGTGCTGCGGTGCCCGGGTAGGGGGTGTCCTGGGGTGGAAGAGTCTAGGGATGGTGGCGTCTGGGCTGGGGGCCCTGGGGAGTCCTGAGCACCCTCCCACGGAAGAGCCGGAGCGGTGGTGCCTGGGCTGCAGCTCCTGTGGACACAAGCCACCCTCCCTACTGCAGACATCCCCCAAGATCTTCGCTGCCAGGATCCTCAATCACTTGCTGCTGTTTCTCAACCAGTCACTGGCTGCGCACAGGGAGCTCCTACCAGGCTTTGGGGAGGCCGCTCCCCGCTTCCGGGGGCAGGTACTGGGAGTCCGGGGGGAGGGGCAGCTGGACAGTGGGGGTGCCAGTGTGGCCTCCCTGCCACAGGTGCTGTTCGTGGTGGTGGACGTGGAGGCTGAAAATGAGCACGTGCTGCAGTACTTCGGCCTCAAGGCTGAGGCAGCCCCCACCCTGCGCCTGGTCAACGTTGAGACCACCAAAAAGTACGCACCCGCGGATGGGGACCCTGTCACTGCCGCTTCTGTCACTGCCTTCTGCCACGCAGTCCTCAACGGCCAAGTAAAGGTTCGCTGCACACTGCTCACTGCGGGAGGGGAGCCATGACCTCCCCCCACCAGCTTGGGAGGGGATGGCAACAGCAGCTCTGAGCACGCCCCACCCTGCGGAGGTCCCCCCTCCGCTGCCTGCCCTGCAGAGGGACACCCCGGCAGAGGCCTGCCTCACCCTGCAGAGGATCCCCCCACCAGCCCTGCGGAGGATTCCTGGCAAAGCGCCTGGCCTGGTTTCCCCCAGCCCTATGTCCTGAGCCAGGAGGTACCCCCCGACTGGGATCAGCAGCCAGTTAAGACCCTCGTGGGCAAGAATTTTGAGCAGGTGGCTTTTGATGAAACCAAGAATGTGTTTGTCAAGTTCTGTGAGTGCTGAGGGAAGCAGGGAGTGTGTGGGCCGGGCGGGGGGGTGCCCGGGTGGCCGCGCTCAAGGGCGGCCCCCATCCTAGATGCCCCCTGGTGCACCCACTGCAAGGAGATGGCGCCTGCCTGGGAGGCGCTGGCTGAGAAGTACAAAGACCATGAGGACATCATCATCGCTGAGCTGGATGCCACAGCCAACGAGCTGGATGCTTTCACGGTGCACGGCTTCCCTACCCTCAAGTACTTCCCCGCAGGGCCGGGTCGAAAGGTATGGGGGTCAGGGGGCTGGGGAAGAAGCTGGGACACCATCTTTCCTGCATGTGGGGCTGGGCCCTGGCATGTCCTCCTGCCCCTGGCATGTCCTCCTGCCCCTCCTGGTCCTCCTGCCCCTCCTGGTCCTCCTGCCCCTCCTGGTCCTCCTGCCCCTCCTGCCCCTCTTGTTCCTCCTGCCCCTCCTGCCCCTCTTGTTCCTCCTGCCCCTCCTGCCCCTCTTGTTCCTCCTGCCCCTCCTGTTCCTCCTCAGGTGATTGAATACAAAAGCAGCAGGGACCTGGAGACCTTGTCCAAGTTCCTAGACAATGGGGGTGAGCTGCCCATGGAGGAGCCCCCAGAGGAGCTGGCAGCCCCGTCCCCGGTGGGTGTCCCTAAGCCCAGGGTTCCAGGCTTCTGCACAAATCCTCTCTACACAGGGTTGGCGGGGCAGGGGCGGGGGCAGGGCCAGGCTGAGAGCAGTTTCGAGCTGCACCTGTGCCCGTTTGTAGGCGCCACCCACCAACTCCACTGTGGGGTCCAAGGAGGAGCTGTAGTGCCCCGTGTCCCCCACACCACTGCTGGAAGGGAGGCGGCCCCCTCGGGTCCCCCACACCACCGCTGGAAGGGAGGCAGCCCCCTCGGGTGCCGGAGGGAGCCGTGCCCTGTAAATAAAGAGCTTGGTTCTGGACTGTGTGTGCCTGGTCCCTGAGCAAGGCTGGATGGTGCAGCTCTGCCCAGCTTGGGGGCTCCCGGGCAGGAAGGTGGAGCACGTGACCATTTCAGCTCGGCCAGGCTCTGCGCCCCAGGGTGCCCCCCATGCCCACTGAGGCCAGTGTGACCTCTTACCAGGTGGGCTGAGGCTGGGAGACGCCACCAGGCCCCACCAGCAGCAGTAAACCACAGCCAGAGCAGGTTCAAAAAGTTTTATTTCATTATTATCCAAGTACCTTTGAAAAGATAATTGTCCAAGTGTCATCGCATGAAAAACAGGCTCCGGCAGCCCCTGCTGGCCCTGGCCTGAGAAATGTACATATTTACACGGGCCCGAGAAAGGAAGACCCGGGACGGCGCAGCCGGCGGCGGGCGGCAGGCACAGCTCCGTCGCCGATTCGCACAGTGGCAGGCAAGAGACGAGCTGCGGTGAAGGCACTCGGTGGCGCGTACAATTGACACAGGCCCTCCAGGCCCCTGGGCCCGGGCCTGGGCCCAGCCAGACCAGGGTACGTGGGCAAGGCCCAGAGGGAACGTAGATCCCAGCACACGTGTGCCCAGGGGAGGCGCCGGGGATCACTTGAAGCCCGCAGCAGGGACCTCGGCTGCCCCCTCCAAGTATTGCTATGGGGAGTGGTCAGGGCTGCCTCCTTGTGGGCAGGACAGAAGCCTGTAGAGCAGGTGGAGGGACCCCACCCACCCACCCAGAAACAGGCAGACTGCAGGCGTGGGCCACAGGCCCGCACTGTCCCCGCAGGGCTCCTGAGTACAGGTCATCCCCTGGTGTGACACCCGTGTGCCCGCCGAGGGCTGAGCCTGGCGTCGTGGCCCGCCGGTCAGTCCACCTTCTCCACTTTGCCGATGACCTTCTCCTCGAACACGGGCAGGACGGCCCCGTCCTCCCGGACCTCCTCAAACACCACCCCACACTCAAACTCGTCGCTCACTTTCTTGAAGTAGTATCTGCCGGACGGAGGTGAGCAGCGTGTGAGGAGCAGGGGACGGCGTGTGCACAAGCCCCGCCCGGGGAGCCTCCTGTCCACGCCCCATGCCCCCTGTGTGAGTGAGCTACTCCCAGAGCCACAGCATGCAACCACCACGTGTGGGTGACGGGGCATCCCCCGGGCCTCTAAGCAGCTGCAGGGGAAGCGTCTCCTCCCAAGGGCTGCGCACTGTGGCGGTGTCTCCGGACGGGGCCCTCCCCCAGCACGCATCCTCCGCCACACGCCTCAGGTGTTTGCACAGTCGCTTATGGACGGAGGGAACCACCTGCCAGGCTATGCCGGGCTCTGGGGGTCAGGCCCCCTCTGCTCACCCACCAGGGCTAACATGGAGCCTCCAGCGTTGGCTTCAGGCAGGGCCCCACAGGGCTGAGCGGCCCAGGGTGAACCCTGGCAGGAGGTGCCCAGCTTCCGCAGGCTCCAGCGCCCAGCAGGAGGGGACAGACCATCTTGTTTCCCCGCCCACAAGACGAAGGCCCTGGACGGGTCCCTTGAGAGCCGCTCAGTCCTGTGGGGCTGAAGGCCTGATGCCACCCTCAGCCCAAAGCCTGGAGAGATGGCTCAGGTGCGATGAGTGACTTGAGATGAAATGGCAGGAAACTTGATATGCCCCTGGGCACCCCCATACCCTGCGGGGAGGGGGCACTGGCCTACACTCACCGGTAGCTGCCCTTTTTGGTCAGCAGCTCCTTGAACTGGCCCAGGGTGATGGCGCGGCCCCTCACCAGCGTGCGGTAGGGGATGGGCTCCCCGCAGAAGTAGTAGGCCACGACGATGCTGTCGCACGCCTGGGCGCTCCCGCTGCCTGCCTTCCGCTGCGACCTCGCCCTGGGGAAAGAGATGCAGCAGTGGTCCCCGGATCTGGACTGACGTCCCACAGGGTGCCTCTGGCTGCCGGCAAAGGGCAGGGCAGGGCAGGCCCATGGGGCTGAGCTGCACGCTACTCAGGAACACCTGGGGCCCCAGGCCCCGCTGCCCACCCCCAACATCTGAAACTGCGGTCTAGTCCAGTACCAGCTCCACTCACCGTGAGCACAAAGGTCTCCCCTGCCAGCTCACAGCCCTCCACCGGCTGGGGCCTGGCCCCAGGGCCGCTGCAGCTGCCCACTCTAGGAGGGCGAGGCAGGCTGCATGGCTCCCATCCCAGGAAGACCTACACCCCTCAAACTTTAAACACAGCTAAAGGGCAAGGATTGGACAACTGCATGATTTCCGGATCAGCCTGACGCGGCAGGACCAGGGGTGGCAGCCAGCGGGCCCTTCCGAGGAAGGCGAAGCTGCCCCTGTCTCCTGCCCAGGCCAGGCTGGGTCCTCCTGCAGGTGCTGTGCGGCCACAGCCGTGCCAGGATGACAGGGCGCTTGCTATCGCACCCCAGCCCCACCCTCAGGTCCCTCAGACGGCTCCAGAAGCTGCCCCTGGATCACTGGGGTTCAGCCCTTGGGTCTCCTCCTGGCTGGGTGCATCAGGGGCTTCCAGAACCAGTGTCATGGCAGGGCAGCACAGGGTCACCTCAGCCACGTGACCATCTACTTCGCACCCCAGGCTCCCCGCCAGCTGCATTCTTGGACTTTGCCCCCGTGCCACATCCTCAGAGCCCCCTGGAGCCAGGCCCATCAAAGAAAAGCCAACATGTGGGGGCTTCCCCAGGGACACGTGAAGGCCACCCCAGCATGCCTGAAGGACAAGAGCCACAAGGGACCAGCATCCAGAAGAAGCCTGGCACGGCCCGGGGACCCCTCATCTCCAGGCCTGTCTTTAGGCTGTGTCCCTCCTCCTACGGCCTTGAGCAGACAGCACACGTGGAATCACGTGGTGTCAACACGGCAAGCCTTTCTCACTAGGGCTCGGAGTGGTCAGCGTTCCAGGTGGGGGCAGAGCCCAGCCTCGCTGACCGCACTGGCTGGACAGACGCACACAGCGGTCCAGACCCACACTGCAGCAGCCGCACCTCGGCACCTCCGCCCCTGCCGCCCCGACCCTGCTCTCAAGCCAGGCCTGGCAGGGACGGTCTCTGCCCCCCGCAGGCCTGGCTGTGGTGCCCAGGCCTCCTGCCGGCCTGTGGGTCACGTGCTGTCAGGCTGGCCAGCATCTCCTTTGATGGAGACGGGAGAAGGCTCTAGAGGAGCCTGGAGCCTGAGGCCGCCGGGACCCTCTCCTTCCACAGCTGCTTCCAAGCTTGGTGCCCGATCTTGGGGCCCAGGACGGCGGCTCTACCACTGGACCTGGCTTAGGACGCCTGGGCCGGGGTGGGCAGGACCGGGAGGACCCTCGGGACACACGTACTCTGTCTCGGAGAGCTCCATGTCCGACACGGCTGGTACCACGCGCAGCACCGGCGCGCACGCTGGCCTGACGCAGGCGCGTCCCCGCCGCATAACCTCCTGCACATACCTAGGGAACAACCCGCGTCAATGGTGGCTGCGCGCTGCCACCAGCCCTGGGGAGGGAGCCTCAACCAGTGCTGCCGGGCAGACAAGGTGTGCAGGAGCTACACGACTCCCCAGTGAAGGCTCCAACGTGGAGGGGTGGATGAGACACCGGACCTCCTTCCAGGCCTTGTTGGTGCCAGACGCTTCCAGCACAGTCGAGAAACGGGCATCCTTCTGTTCACTGCAGGGCGCCTCGCACTCAGGATCTGAGCACCGACCCCCTGAGTTCCGGACCACACTTTGGGGAGCTTCTGATCTGGGGTGCTAGGATCCCGCCACCTCCCCTCTGCTGGGACATCTTCACACAGCAAGGAGCCCTTCAGGAGCCTGTCCTCGGGTCGCTCGCCTGAGCTCCCCACCGCCAGCATGCACACTGGGTCGTGCGTGGCAGCTCCGTCTGCACCTCAGGGAGGCTGAGGGCCCTCCGTGCCACCAGTGAAGCCCTCCGCGGGTTTGGCATGGCAGCTCCTCTCAAGTGGACACCTGCGCCTGCTTGCGCCAGGCAACCCTGATGATTTCTACTCTGATGTCCTGGCAGGGTCCCACACCCGCCCTGCCCCTGCGCTTTCCCTCCAAGTCTCAGCTGCTCGAAAAAGCCCACATCCCCTGGACGGACAAACGCAGTGGCCAAAGCGGGCCAGCATGGCTGTGCCTCAGAACAGCAGCAGGGTCCCATGGCTCAGGGAGTGTCCACTGCTGTCAAGAGCCTGTGGGTGCCGGGGGAAAGTGCAGACGAAACCGGGAGAGACCCCTGCTCCGCCCAGCAGAGGAGCCCGGCCAAGCCCAGGGCCTCTGACTCGCTGCACACACGGCCCACCCACTGCCTACCTGAGCCAGCCAGGTCACGGCCCAGCTCTGAGCACCAGGCACCAGGCTCCTGCATGGCACAGGGCTCTGGCTCCTTGTTGGCTGAACACAATCATGGGGTCGCAGACGTTTTGCCATAAAGTGAACACCGTTTTCGTTCAAGGTAACAGACTCTTTCTGGCTACAGTGCTGCCATTAGACTCACAGCCTGCTAAATGCTCAGGAACCTTTAACGACTTGAGACACACACAGGCTTCTGGCTGAGAAGGGTCTGAACCCGGATGCTGCTTCAGCAGAACAGGGCCCCTGGCCCCAGCCTCCCGGGAGTGGCGCAGCCCCAAACCTAGACGCCCGGGATGTGGGGCTGGACCCAGGCCCCAGATGACCCAAGCTGGACAGGAGGAGCTGGTGACCTCTGACAGCAACCAGGGCCTAGGTGAGCTAACGGCTGGAAGGACCCTCACAGAGAGCCTGATGGGGCTGGAAGTCCAGTGACCCTGGATGGCCAGGAAAACTGCCTCATGACCAAGCTGAAAGCATGGGAGAAGCCAGGCTCTAGCCTGGAGGGAAAACACTGCCCCAACCAAGGGGAGACCTCCTTGCAGCCCAGGCAGAAACCACCCTGCCCTGGGGAGAGAAGAGGGTCTGGCTCCGGGGGCCCAGAAGGTGGAGGACATCGTAGCGAGGGCTGCAGGCTGGCCATCCAGGATGACAGCTCCACGTCTGCACAGCTTCCCCACCATGTGGAGCCACTGAGGGCTCTTGGGGTGCCACTGTCAAAAGGCAGCCACCATGCCCCCAGGACCCCTGCCTCAAGGCCCAGGCTGCTGCGACTCGGCATTCCCCGCAAGCTGGGGCCCTGCAGCCTCAGCCCAGCTTGCGGATGGACCCCTCCTTCCGGAAGAACGGAAAGCACAGTGGCCTCAGGTGTGTGAAAGCTGCCACCCGACCTGTGTCCACAGCAGGGCCACCTGCCACCTCACCCCTCAGTGGTTCTCAGTGGAAGGAAGGGCGTAGTGTGGCCAGGGGACACGGAGAGGACCATTTTCCACCTGAGGGACTTCTGCAAAGACCTCAAACTACGGGGAGCTTCAGCCCCAGGTGTAGTGCTGTGGAGGCCCCCGGACCCGCCCACCCCGCCCTACCTCTGCTTGGAGGGTGCCCGGACCCGCCCCACCCTGCCCTACCTCTGCTTGGAGGGTGCCCGGCTGGCTCTTTTTTCTTCCTCTTCCAGACGTCGACGCGCCTCCTCCAACTGGGTTAAGGGGTTGGGAGCTGGGTGGGGTGGCATCGTGGGGTCTTGGATAAAGAGGTGGGAGGGCTGCACGGAGGTCCGGAGCTGAGAGCCAGCCCAGGGGTGCACGGCCCCGGAACGCTCGAGGGACAAGGGTCTGGAGTTCTCATGGGACTGTGGCTTCCTCGTCCCTGAAGACCTAGGGGAACAAGAGAACACGTTGGGGCCGTGGTCAACACCGTGGCTGGTTTGCCTGGTGAGGCTGCAACCCTCTCCTGAGGGGTAGGATGGGACATGGGCACTGGGGCCTGGCCACCAAGCCACATAGACATCCTCCTCAGACCACACAATAAAAACATCCCCGCCGGGCGGGGTGGCTGGCCCCCATTATCTCAGCACGTTGCAAGGTTGAGGCGGGCATATCACCCGAGGTCAGCCTGGCTAACGTGGTGAAAGCCCATCTCTACCAAAATATACAAAATAGCTGGGTGTGGTGGCACATGCCTGTAGTCCCAGCTACTCCGGAGCCTGAGGCAGGAGAATCACTTGAACCCGGTTTGTGCCACTGTACTCCAGCCTGGGCAACAGAGTGAGGCTGGTCTCCCCACCCATCTCCCCAAAATAATCCCTCATTCCCCTGCAATCCCAGTACTTGCAGAGGCTGAGGTGGGCGGATTGCCTGAGGTCAGGAGTTGAGACCAGCCTGGCCGACATGAAAAAACCCGTCTCCACTAAAAAAATAAAATACAAAAACTTAGCAGGATGTGGTGGTGCTGCCAGTAGTCCCAGTTACCCAGGAGGCCAAGGGAGGAGAATCGTTTGAGCCCAGGAGGTGGAGGCTGCAGTGAGCTGAGACCGGGCCACTGCACTCCAGCCTGGGTGACAGAGCGAGACTCTGTCTCCGAAAGAAAAAAAAAATGACTTACGTGGAGACTTTTTTTTTTTTTTTTTTTTTTTTTTTGAGACGGAGTTTCGCTCTTGTTACCCAGGCTGGAGTGCAATGGCGCGATCTCGGCTCACTGCAACCTCCGTCTCCTGGGTTCAGGCAATTCTCCTGCCTCAGCCTCCTGGGTAGCTGGGATTACAGGCACGCGCCACCATGCCCAGCCAATTTTTTTTGTATTTTTAGTAGAGACGGGGTT